AATTGTGTTACAACAAGACATCTCAAGGCTATATATAGCCATCCTAACAAGCCATATGAAAAGTCTCAAGCAAATGAAAAGACTTGTAACTTACAAGAAATGAAAAGACTTGTAAATGAAAAGACATAACTTACGAGAAATGAAAAAGACAAGCAAATGAAAAGGTTAAGAACATGGAAAGCCAACCAAAATAATTGCAATCCCGTCCATAATGAGGGATGTGAGTGTTTGACTTGGTTTTTGAATTGAATGAGTTGACTTTGACTTGTCTTGATGGAGTTGACTTTGACCTTGACCAAGTGGACTTTAACTTGCCATAAAAACACTTAAAAATGCATAACTTGCACCAAATTGAAGTGCATAGTTCTAACTTCTTGCACATCTTCCTTTATTTCTCTTGTCGAGTTCAAGAACGCTTGGACACGAAGTAGCAAAGCTTGTTGAAGTTTCCTAGCTCTCGATCTTGTAATCGGTCCATGAGGCATAACAACGGTAGCTCCTTGGTTCATATCAGTTCTAAAACTTTTCCTTGGGTTGATTCCATACTTGTTTTCGGGGTTTTTGGGATTGAGTTCTATGGGTCTTGTTCGTTAGCAAGGTTCTTAGATCCAACTCTCAAGGGTTTCTTAACACTGTCGGTTTTTCTTCGTATAACAATATTAATTGTTCTACTGCTATCCATGAGTTTGTGATCTGTAATTGTCATGAATGATTAAAATAAGTAGCAAGGGGTTGGATTTTGTGTGTGTATTTATAGCTTTTCCATGTTTACATAGCTGGCATAATAGACTCTAGGGAAACAAAGAGATAAAATTAATTAACTTGCAGCTATCTCAAATTAATTGATTCTGGTTTAGTTATTCTCATCATCTTTAATGCCATTCTTTGATTAATATAGAATGCTATTGTGCCTAGTTGATTAATTAATAAGATTTAATTTGATGCTTGGTCTAAATTAATTAAATTAGGAGAATTAAAACTTACCATGGTTGTTCCGAGTAAGTAAACTAAGTTCTTGAATCAAGAAACCAATTTTGTGTAAAGCCTATGATCAAGATTACAATTGGATGAAAATTACACCTTTGGATTGGAAGTTGGTAAGATTAATTTTCGTTTTCCTTTTAGTTTGTCTATTTAAATTTTAAAATTTAAATTGAAACCCCCCCCCCCCCAATTTTTAACTTTGAGAAATTAATTTCATTGGTTCCCTTAGGATTCGACCTGGTCTCACTATTTCTACATGTTAGATTTAGTAAAATTAGTAATTATTTTGGAGGGCCTCGACAACCCTCACCAGAAATTTTTCTTCAAGAAAAATTGCATGGCCTGATTAAAAAATCACATGATTTTCAATATCAATAAAACTATAGGCTATGCTATTAATTGTCTATCCAAGAAAAATAGAAGTGGTATCTTTAGATCATAAATTAGGTCTTTTTGGATATGTTAGCCTTACAAAAGTTTAGCATTCCCCAACAATTAAATATCCTAAATTTGGCTTATAACCTTTCCACATTATGAAAATGTGTAATTTTTGTCTTCTTTTGTGGTAATCTATTTAACACATGGAAAGAACAGAAAACTGCTTCACCCCAAAAAAAGATGCACCTGATTTTAATATATTAACATTAGTTAAACCAATTAAGGTTCTATTTTTCCTCTCAGCTACTAAATTAGCAGCAGGTGAATATGGTGGAATAGTCTCATGAATTATTCCCAAGGATTCAACATGTAAATTAAATTCCAATGATTCACATTTTCTCGACTTCTATCACTTCTAACTGTTTTAATTTTCTACCGAATTGATTTTCAACTTCGAGGATAAATATTTTGCAATTCTCAAAAACATCACTTTTATTTCTCATTAAATAAACATAAGTATATTTAGAAAAGTCATCAATAAAAGTGATAAAATATCGATTTCCTCCTCTACTTAAGATCCATTCAAATTCACAC